ACTTTTCATAGAAAAATGCATATATGAGCTGGACATAGTGGCACATATCTCTAATCTCAGGAAAGTTGAGAGTTCAAGACCAGCCTTGGTTAGCCATTAAAAACACACACAAGCTGGGCATCAGTGGCTCATGCCTGTAATCCTAGCTGCTCAAGAGGCTGAAATATGAGGATTGTGGTTCAAAGCAAGCCTGGGCCAGGTGCCGGTAGCTCACGCCTGTAATCCTAACTACTCAGGAGGCTGAGATCTGAGGATCATGGTTCAAAGCCAGCTGGGGCAGGAAAGTCCATGAGACTCTTATCTCCAATAAACCACTAGAAAACCAGAAGTGGTGCTGTGGCTCAAGCAGTAGAGCACTCGCCTTGAGCTGAAAAGCATAGGGACAGTGCCCAAGCCCAGAGTTCAAGGCCTACGAATGACAAAAAAAAAAAAAAGAAAGAAAGAAAAAAAAAAGAAAAAGCAAGGCTGGTCAGGAAAGTCTTGAGACTCTTATCTCCAATAAACGACCAGAATACGGGAATTGGCTCTGTGGCTCAAGTGGTAGAGTGCTCGCCTTCAGCTGAAGAGCACAGGGACAAGCCCCACAACCAAAAAAAAAAACAAACCATACACACACACAGATACAAAACACAAAAAAACAAAAAACATACACACACAAGAGAGTTGAGTCTGTGGCTCAAGCAGTATACAGTGTTTGCACAAGTATGATGCCTGAGTTCAAACCTCAGGGCCACCTAAAAAATGTTTATGCATATAATTCTGTATATAATCTTAGGGACATCAGGGATTCACTTTACCCTCCTCCAACTGAGCTAAGATCTGATCTGGTGGGATTTAAGATTCATAATCATAACTAAGATGCCATATGCAGACAGTAAAGATTCACAGACACTCTGGGAACTGAGGCAGTCACCTAACTTAGTCTGGGATAGACTGTACATGCAAGGACCAACAGGACTTTCCAGAACAGAAAGATGGGAGAAAAAGGCATTCTGAGAGGTAAGTAAGTAGTGTGGGCACTGGAGAAGCTGCGAACACTGTGGGAGCCAGGCAGGTGCCGAGGCTGTAGGCAGCATGCAACAGGGCTTGCCATGACTGAGAGATGGTGGGAAGGAGTTCCTGGACCCAGAATATGGAGTCTCAGTGCCTCTGGGGCCCTTGGCAGCCACAACTGACAGGTGCACAAGGTGCTCAGGGTCCTGCATATTGCTGCCATTCACTCATCGTAGAGCAGTGGGCAGTGGACACAGTACCTCCCTGCATTTCAGACAAGCAAGCTAAGGCCCAACCTATGGTAACACTGTCAGAATCAATGGTCTAGATCCTGCCCCATCCTGGTGCTATCTTTGATTACTGGACTCACTATCTCCCCCAGGACCTCTCTGGGAGTATCCAAGAATGGAGATCCCCTTTGTGTCTTCATTTGTGGGTTTTGGAGGGGACGGGGAGGCTTCTCTGAGGAAGTCTGGGCCTCAGATGGGATGGATGGCATTATGCTGAGGAGCTGGGTGCCCTTACCTTTTGAATGATGCTTCAGGGTCCCTGGTCCCCTGCATGGACAGCATAATGACGGAAGATCGGCTGAATGAAGTGAAAGCCAGTAAGTCATGCCCTGGGCCTGCGAGATTTCTAGAGACAGAGAGACACTGAGCAGCAGGAGGGGCAGGGACACAGCCAAGGCGAGGGTCTTCCCTTCACTATCCAGGATGAGAGCTGTATGGGGCCCCATGGGGTTCCCAAAGAGTAGAACATACAGCCTACCTGAGGGAAAAATGACCTAAAGATAGGGCTAGAAACCACTTAGTGCAGGATATATAGTTTGGACTTCAGAGGGTACAAGCTTATTTTGTAATTGGAAAGCTGATAAGAGCATATAGGAAGACCGGGGGCAATCCAGGAATGCTTCTTAGAGGAGGCAGGCTTTGATTCACACTTTGAAAGCTGGGAACAGTTCGGAGGGCTGGAGGAAAATGAGGTGAGCAGATGTTGCACAGGGGGCATCCAAGCCAAGGCCAGGAGGTGGGAAGGAAAGATAAGGAGTGAGACCAGCTTAGAGGCCTCGTCTTAACCAGTAGTCTTTCTTCTCCCTGTGATCCAGCTGTGGAAAACTTGAGGCATGATCCAGAAGCATCAGTGTGCATCTATGCAGCCCAGGCCCAGGAACACATCCTGTCTAGCTGCTGGAGGAATTCTTGGCCACTTCCACACGGGGACTCATGGGTGTGTGACCCGGCCACCACGCACCGCTGGAACCCCAGCTGCGAGAACCTGCCCACTTCCCACCAGCGGCGCTCCTGGATCATGCAGGCTCTGGGCTCCTGGAAGATGTCCTTGAAGCAATGATGTCACACAGCCACAGCCCCCACCTTCAAGCTGTCCAAGCACATACATGGACACATAAATGCCACATGGCTTCCCTCTCCACCCCGAGTGCTTCATGGGAGATGTCCTACTGTTATACTGGGACAAATCTGAGAGAGGGGTATGGCCTGTTGGTGACTCAGTTGCAGTATGTCTAATCTGGGTAGATGGGGAAGGTGAAGTTCAGAGAGGTGCTTGTCACAAGCCACTCAGTAAGTCCACTGGAGGTCTCAGCTTCCTCTGCCCCCATTATCACAGGAGCTAAAGAAGTGGCGATTTGGGTTTCCCTTGGGGGAAGAAAGAGGAGGAGAATCCCCCATCCCATGATATCATGTCTCAGGGCTTTGAGTCCTATCCTTAGGTTATGTGCTGTGATGTTTTCTAATTCTAGGAATTTTTATAGAGCTGATTCTACAAATATTTATAGAGCTTCTAACCTAGGCAGGTATAGGCTCTGGACACTTCATGATCTGAGGCAGAAGGTTCTCACCTAGGGCACTTTTGCCCCTTACAGACTATTTTACAATGTCTGGAGACATTTCTGGTTGTTTTAAGTTGAAAGTGGGTTGGGATCAGCATCTAGTGGGCAGAGGCCCTGGATGCTGCTCAACCCCCTACAATCACAGGACAGTTCCACAAGGAAGTTGTCATATGGCCAAGGTTGAAATTTTGGACTAGTGGAAGTGTTGGAGACACGTAAAGATACCAGCAGCAAAGCAGGGAGGCATGGGGCTGGAGGTTCCCTAGGAAGCACCACAGGCCAGTGGGGTGTTGAGATGTCAGAGAAGGTTTCCTAAAAAAGATACTTCCCAAATGGGAGGTGACCATAAGGTGCCACATGGAGCAGGTCAGGGTATGTGGGACCAAGGACCAGTATCAGATTCCTATAATGGAGGGAGAGAGGACCAGTCCACTGTGGCCTTCATCTAGAGCGCAGTGGGAAAGCATTGGGAGCTGCTCGGCAGTGGAGAGATTTGAACAGATGTTGGTTTTAGAAAGCTGCCCCTCGGGGGATACAGGAACCCCTAGGCACTGCTGGTGAGATAGTAGACTGTAGCTATTCTGGGCATGAACTTGTCACTACTCAGCTATAGTAAGTTTATGTGTATACATGGCCTGGGAACTGCACCTGTGGGAGTCTCCAAGGTCCATAAAGAGAAATGTATGAGGACTTCCATTGTAACATGCCCTGTGGTGCCAGGAGAGGGGAAGCCTAGACACTCATCCTTGAAGAATGAATGTGCTCCATGGACTCTTATGTGTAGTTAGAGGCAGTGACAGTACATATAGCACCACACACCTACATGATAAAGTATGTCACAACGTATGCACAAAAGAACTTACATTTTGAAAAACAAGATACACGAAAACACTAGAATGATTGGTTAGGAGGGAGAGATGAAGAGGAGTGGTACAAAAGTGGGGAGGAAAGGGAACCCACTACTACTTTGTAGTAGAACAAAAGGTCTGGGTGGGCAGAATGGACAAGAGCTGGACCAAGACTGCTAAAAGGAAATGGTGGCATGGACCACAGAGGGCACAATGGAAGGGCAGCCAGTCCTATAGGAGACCAGAAAGGGGGATTCTAGAACACAGTGGTTCTCAGAATAGAGGAGGGAGGAGGAGAGCAAGGTATTAAGGATGGCATCCATGTTGCTGAGTGAATGATTGAGCCAATGGTGACCCCCACATTGAGGAGTGAAGCCAAGACCAGGAGCATGATGGGGATCAGATGAGGACTGAGAGGCAGGAGTCAAGTCCAGTCTGGAAATGGTGAGCTTGAAGGATTTGGGGGAACATGGTTGTGTGGCATCCACCAGATTGATGGCTGCCGTTATACAATGAATAAATAGACTCCAGACAGTTTCCTCATCCCTTTTGCATGGGAGAACACAGTGGAAAGATGGCCTCCATAAAGTGGGCCCTCACCAGACACCAAATCTGTCCATGCCTTGATCTTGGACTTTATAGTCCCTAAACTTGTGAGAAGTAAATGAGACTTATAGGCCAAAACGTTTTTGGAATTTCGTTTTAGCAGTCTGAATTGATGAACATAGCTGCATGGGAAGGAACTCTGAAGAGGAGACTTAGAGATGTGGAATACATTTGGGTACCAGAAATGTGGTGGGATTCCCCTGGGAAAGAGCATAGAGGTGATAGATGGGTTGAGAAGCACATATTCAAAGCCTCTGCTGGGGTTGAGGAACTCATGAAATTGACCACACAATCATCCTCCAATTAATGGTAGTCCAAGGCCTTTGGGATTTTGGTATTGCTCTACGAAGAGCAGAAAGCAGGCAGGGATGCTTCATTCTCACAGCCCTGTTTACTGCCAAGAATATTCTTGAACATTACCTCAGGTCTAGGCATCCCTGTGAGTAGAGGGAAAACGGGTCAACTTTGCTTCAAAGCCAGGGGAACTCCAGGAGTAGTCAGGCCACACCCCCTTGAAGACCACGCCCCCACGAGACAGCGGAACTCAAGGTGCACCGATCGGCCACACCCCTGGGCTGGCCACGCCCCCGGTAGGCCCGGCATCCAGGCAGACGGAACCCAAGGTGCGCGTGCCGGCTGTAGCGCGGGGAGGGTTGAGGGAAGGACACCGCTCCGCCGGAAGGAGTTTTCGAGCTCTGCGCATAGTCCCTAGAACCGCAGCTGGAGAACTTCGAACTGCCATGGAGCGGTCGCCGCCCGCCGCCGCCGCCGAGGACGACTTTGACTCCTTCCTGGAGAAGTTCCAGAGTCAGCCTTACCGCGGCGGCTTCCACGAGGACCAGTGGGAGGAGGTGGGCCACCGTGGGGACTCCGCACGTGTGTGGGGATATCTGCGCTCTCGTTTCAAAATAGGGAAACTGAGGCACGCGTAGATGATAGCCGTTGATTAAGATAAGGACAGCTGGCCATTCATTCAGACCTAACATTGGTGAGATTTGATGATGAGTCATGGCATTGGAGATCTACTCAGAAAATCCATTCATGTACTTCATTCTTCTCCAAATTTTATCCAGGAATTTGACAAGATTCCCCTATTTATGAAGAAAGCACCATCGGAAATTGATCCCAAAGAGAATCCTGACTTGGCTTGTCTCCAGTCAATTATATATGATGAGGAGCGATCTCCAGAAGGTATATTACATAACTAGCATTTGATTTGTGCCTCCACTGAGTTGTGGTGAAGTGTGAGAACAGTTCTGACTGATAGCAAGTAGTGAGCTGACCCTGACTTGTCACCAGTTCACTCCACAAAGCTCTGCCACTTGAGCCACGCCCCCAGCATCATTCCACGCATCCTTTTTTTTTCTCCTTCCTCCTCCTCTTCCACCTCCTCTTCCTCCTCTTGTTTTTTTGCCGGCTTCTACTCAGGGCCTGGTCTGTCCCTGAGAGCTTTTACTGAAGGCTAACTTTGTACCACTTGAGCCACAGCGCCACTCCCCACTTTTTCTGAATAGTTTATTGGTCATAAGAGTCTTATGGACTTTTCTGCCCAGTTTCAAATGCCATACTCAGATCTCCATCTCCTGAGTAGCTAGTTAGGATTACTGGTGTGAGCCACCAGCACCAAGCTCACATGTACTTCTTTAGATAGCAGCTGTTTGCACACAGTTCCTGCCCTCCAAGGTCAGGCTCCAGTGAGAAGCCAAATTATCCTAAAGAATCAGGATAAACATGTAATAAGGGCCAACACTTAGGTGTGTTTGTGTGTCTACACATAATATGTATATTTGTGTATATATGTATACATGTATGTACTTATATACACATGTACTTATACATTTCTTACTATAGCTACACCAAATGCTGTTGAAATACTGGCTGAGAGTGAACTTACAGTGGATTGGCAATTGAAGCTGAAATGGAACAGTTTCATAGGCTTTTACTATGGCAAGGAAAATTTGCACTCCAGAGCATGAAAATATAAGCAAAATCCTCCTATTTTCTTAGTAATTAAAAAACAAAGTTCTTCAGAGCTTGGATGCATATATTCTTTCCTTCATGCTTCTTGTGAGATACTTGGAATTGATCATAGCATTGTTTGTTTGATGGTGTTTCTCCATATTGATATCCATTTTTTTAACATAACTTTGATTTGTGTTTCCTTTTTCTATTGCTTTTTTCTCTTCTGTTTATCATACATTAGGTTATTGCATGATTTAGAATCTTTTAAAAAGTAGAAATCTTTTTTTTTGTTGTTGTTGTTTTGCTTTTTGTCAGTTGTGGGGCTTGAATTCTGGGCCTAAGCGCCATCCCCGAGGCCTTCAGCTCAAGCCTAGTGCTCTACCACTTGAGCCACAGTGATACTTCCCGTTTTCTGAGTGGTTTATTGGAGATAAGAGTCTCATGGACTTTCTTTCTTTTTTTGGTGGGGGGCGGGGGGGGAGGGGGCCATGGGGGAGGGGGGGGGTCCGGTCGTGGGGCCAGAACTCTGGGCCTGGGCGCTGTCCCTCAGCTCTTCAGCTCAAGGCTAGCGCTCTACCACTTGAACCACAGTGCTACTTCCAGCTTTTTTCTTTTTGTTTATGTGGTGCTGAGGAATTGAACCCAGGGCCTTAGGCATGCAAGGCAAGTGCTCTACCACTGAGCCACCTTCCCAGCCCCCTCTCATAGACTTTCCTGCCCCCCCCCCCCCCCCCCCCCCCCGCTGTCTTTGAACCTGGATCCTCAGATCTCAGCCTCCTGAGTAGCTAGGATTATAGGTGTGAGCCACCACACCGGGCTTAAAAAGTAGAAATCTTTTTTTTTTTTTTTTTGCCAGGCCTGGGCTTAAACTTTGGGCCTGGGCGCTGTCCCTCAGTTCTTCAGCTCAAGGCTAGTAGTGCTCTACCACTTGAGCCACAGCGCCATTTCTGGCTTTTTCTGCTTAGGTAGTGCTGAGGAATCGAACCCAGGGCTTCATGCATGTGAGGCAAGCACTCTACCACTGAACCACCTTTCCAGCCCTAGAACTCTTTTTTTTTTTTTTTTTTTTTGGGTCCGGTTGTGGGGCCTGAACTCTGGGCCTGGGCGCTGTCCCTCAGCTCTTCAGCTCAAGGCTAGAGCTCTACCACTTGAGCCACAGTGCCACTTCCTGCTTTTTTCATTTTGCTTATGTGGTGCTGAGGAATTGAACCCAGGGCCTCATGCATGCAAGGCAAACGCTCTACCACTGAGCCATCTTCCCAGTCCCCCCTAGAACTCTTTTTAAAAGTAGAAAATATTTTTCTTCTTTTTTGCAGAACAAGCCAAGACCTATAAAGATGAAGGTAATGACTACTTTAAAGAAAAAGACTATAAGAAAGCTGTGATTTCATACACTGAAGGATTAAAGAAGAAATGTGCAGATCCTGATTTGAATGCTGTCCTTTACACAAACCGGGCAGCAGCTCAGTACTATCTTGGTAATTTATTTCATTAAGTACTTTAAAAAGAATTAACTTAGGATAAAAGGCTATTGTGCTGGCTAGTGGGAGGTTTAAGAATATCAGAGAAAGAAGGGCTGTTCAGAAACCTGGAATAATTGTATTCTGATCTTTCAGCTAGACATGGGAAGATGGGAAACAGGTATTGTGTAATTTTAACTGGACCAAAAGAGTGACTTAGTCACTCCGTAAGTTTTTTTAGATTTTTTTTTTTTGACAGTTGTTGTGGCCTGAACTCTGGGCCTGGGCGCTGTCCCTCAGCTCTTCAGTTCAAGGCTAGCGCTCTACCACTTGAGCCACAGCACCACTTCCGGCTTTTTTTGCTTATGTGGTGCTGAAGAATCGAACCCAGGGCCTCATGCATGCAAGGCAAGCACTCTACCACTGAGCCACCTTTCCAGCCCTGTAACTTTTAAACCAAGATGCTTCTGTAATTGTTTGTTTGTTTGTGAGTGGTACTAATGCTTGAATTCAATGCCTCACACTTTTTTTTTTGGTCCAGTCGTGGGGCCTGAACTCTGGGCCTGGGCACTGTCCCTTAGCTCTTCAGCTCAAGGATAGAGCTCTACCACTTGAGCCACAGCGCCACTTCCGGCTTTTTTCTTTTTGCTTATATGGTGCTGAGGAATCGAACCCAGGGCCTCAGGCATGCAAGGCAAGCGCTCTACCACTGAGCCACCTTCCCAGCCCCTCAATGCTTCACACTTTCTAGGCAAGCACTCTGCCACTTGAGACACACCCCCGGTCCTTGAATGCTTCTCTTCTTTAGAGAAAACAAGCAAAAAAACCTTTTTTTAAAAAAAATTGTGTTGACCTTTTATCCTGCCAAGGATGCTAGAAGGATTAATATTGTACTAGAAAGTTTTTGTTTCAATTCCAGATGGTATAGGACACCTTCAGAAACCATACATAGCCTTTGTTTCTAGGCGTAATGAGCAAATCCACCTGACCCCCCATAGCTATCAGCCACCCCTGAAGGGAAACAAGCTGTCACCCCCTGTTATTCAGCTCCCACACAAGAAAAGTTGTTTTTTGTTTTGTCAGTTGGAGGCTTGAACTCTGGGCCTGGGTGCTGTTCCTTTAGCTCTTCAGCTCAAGGCTAGCGCTCTACCACCTGAGCCACAGCGCCATTGTGTTTATGTGTACTGAGGACCTCATGTGGTACTGAGGGCCTCATGCATGCGCAGCAAGCACTCTACCACTGAGCCACCTTCCCAGCCCCAGGAAGAATATTTTTATATCTTAGATCAGAAATATCCTGAATGTTCTGTCTCAAAACTTGGTATCTTTTTCTCGATGGCTTTTATTAGGTAATTTTCGTTCTGCTCTTAGTGATGTGACAGCTGCCAGGAAGCTAAAACCCAGCCACCTCAAAGCCATAATAAGAGGTAAGTCCTATAAAACTACACCATGACTAGCACTGTCATTGCTGTCACCGCTCTAAAAAGTACCACTTAAGTCTTGATACTGAAGTGCTAGGATGCTGCAGTGAGGTCATCTTCTTTTTGGTATTGAGTTCCTGTTCCTTTTGAAAGGATTCCTCAAGGAGTAGTGCCCATTCAGCTCAAACTTTGCATGCTTTAAAAAGTTGTAGAAAATTGAAACTCCTAATTTTAAATCAATAAAAAATAAAATTAATTAAAGCAGTTCCAAAAGTCATATTCTAATTACTCCTTTTCAAATTCGTTAATTGAAAGGCAAAAATCTTCAAATGCCATGTTAATATTAATTAAAGGAATAGTTGTAGGACCTTTGCAGATAACTCTGATGCTGAGGTTTTCCTGAACTGTTTTTTTCTCCTACAGTCTGACCTTTCTATGTAATAATGCCTTTATTATTTCTGTACTTCACCTTTTCTTTGAGAAACTCATAGTTGCTTTTGAAGCTTTATTCATCACTTCTCAGTCCTCCCTTTATTCTCATGGAACAGCCTGAATGCTTATCAAGTTGTGCCTCTTTGGACGCTCATGGCTAAGGAGTGGCAAATAGGTTCAAGCCCCTTAGCTTAGAGGAGAGAAAGTTCTGGATAAAGACTGGCACATACTGTAGTCTTGTAGAGTTAGCCTCAGCCTGGAAATCTTGATTCAGTTCTCAGTTTTACCACCTTCTTTTTGTTGTTGTTGTTGGTTGTGGGGCTTGAACTCTGTGCTTGGGTGCTGTCCCTCAGCTCTTCAGCTCAAGGAGAGCACTCTGCCACTTGAGCCACAGCACCACTTCCAGTTTTCTGTTGCTTTATTGGAGATAAGAGTCTCACGGACTTTCCTGCCCAGGCTGGCTTTGAACCATGATCCTCAGATCTCAGCCTCCTGAGTGGCTAGAATTGCAGGTGTGAGCCACCAGTGCCTGGCTCAGTTTTACTTTCTAATGTGACCTTGGCAAGATGACCTCTCTTGTTGTCAGTCTGCTCATCTCTATGAGGGTATTAGGTTCATGTGACACATTGCCTTTACAGTTTAACACTTAGAAAAGCCTAGTGTACATGGGATTGGGGCAGAAAGAGAGATTGATTACATGGATAGCCATAAAGAACAAAATTAGCAGATACCTAATGTCTTTAGTCTTTGGTCTTGTGACTAGGTTGATGAATGGCCCAGGCAGATTCTTTTCTCTCTGTTTCTGTCTGAAGTTCAGAGAGGTGCTGTCCTTTGTCCAAGAGGGTAAATGACAGCCAGATTCCCAGCCCAGGTTTGTGATTTCAAAGCCTGTATTCTCTGCCATGAAGCTGTAGTATTTTGGGTTTTTTTTTGTTTTGTCTTTGTCTAAGACCAGGACTTGAACTTGGTACCTGTTTTTACTCATTGGCTGGTGCTCTACCAACTGAGCAATGCCTCTGACCCCAAGAATTCTTTACTTATAGAGTTCTTAACACTTGGGAGACTTACAAGAGTTTTGAGCTGAATGGGTACTTGGTATAGGATATTTCTGATTTAAGATATAAAATGTATTTTTCCTGTGTGGGAGCTGAAGAATGGGGGATGACAGCCTGTTCCCCTTCAGGGATGGCTGGTGGCTGTGGGGGCCAGTGGATTTTCTCGTTACTCCTAGACACAAAGGCTATGGTTTCTGCAGGTGCCCTGTGCCATCTGGAATTGAAACACTTTGCTGAGGCTGTGAGCTGGTGTGATGAAGGACTGCAAATAGATGCCAAGGAGAAGAAACTTATAGAGATGAGGTCTAAAGCAGACAAGTTGAGGGTGAGTGACAACAGACAGTTGACATTTGCTAGTTAGTATTACCCAGGTGGTGTCTTTTTGGTCATTGTAGAGTTTTTCCTAGCCACTGGGGTTATGGTTGAATGGCACAGTGTATGTTTTTTATACATGAGGCCCTGAGTTTAGTCCCTAGCACAATAACCAATCCCCCCCCCACAAAAAAAAAAATCAGTCCTTACCATTGAAGAACACACATAAGCAAACAAGTAAGTAAAGGTGAGCAAGAATATATGGTCTCGTGGGGCTGGAAAGGTGGCTCAGTGGTAGAGTGCTTGCCTTGCATGCTTGAGGCCCTGGGTTCAATTCCTCAGGACTGCATAAGCAGAAAAAGCCGGAAGTGGCGCTGTGACTCAAGTGCTAAAGTGCTAACCTTGAGCTGAAGAGCTGAGGGACAGTGCCCAGGCCGAGTTCAGGCCCCACAACCAATAACAACAACAAAAAGAATATATGGTCTCTGTGGTACAATATACAGTACTGGTATCTGACCTTGCCCTGCCAAGAGCAAGGTATACATGGAGACTGGCAGGCAGACAGAGGTTTTCTGAGAGAAGTGAGGCCTGGGCTAGGGCGCTTGACTGAGCAGTCTCCTTGGCTCAGTGATATTGGGGGATAATAATACACAAGAGTCCTAGGGGATATTTTAACAGATTTGGGTGTGCACATGCGTGCCTGGGTGCATGTGTCACTAGGGTTTGAATTCAAGGCCTCTTCCTTGCTAGGAAATTGCTTTGCCACTTGAGCCATGCTCCCAGCCCTTTTTTACTCTTTACTTTTTTTTAAAATTAGAACCTTACTTTTGCCTTGGAACAGCCTCACACCACAATTTGGTCTTGTGACTAGGTTGATGAATGGCCCAGGCAGATTCTGCTCTCTGTTTCTCTTTCTCAGAGACATACTGTCCTTTGTCCAAGGTCTACTAGGTAAATGACAGATGGATTCCCAGACCAGGTTTGTGATTTCAAAGCCTGTGTTCTCTGCCATGAAGCTGTAGCTGTACCTGTCCAAGTTGTTAGGTTATAGGCATGACCCTCTGCAACTAGCCTTGAACACTACTTTTGCCAATGCTTAAATGTATGAATAGCCTTGGACAAGTTCCTGATATTTCTGAAGCTTGGTTCCATTTTTGAAAGTGAAGAACACAATATATCCCTCAGAGTTGTGGGGTTTTGTTTTTTGTTTTTGGTGTTTTTTTTTTTTTCTTGTGTTGGTCATGGGGCTTGAACTCTGGGCCTGGGCACTGTCCCTGAGTTCTTCAGCTCAAGGATAGCGCTCTACCACTTGAGCCACAGTGCTACTTCCATCTTTTTCTGTTTATGTGGTGCTGAGGAATCGAACCCAGGGCCTTAGCATGTGAGGCAAGCACACTACCACTGAGCCACCTTCCCAGCCCCCCCCCTTTTTAAAATGAAGATTAAATTAAAAATGTATGAAATGAAAAAAGTGTATATGTCTATGTCTATATGTACACTAGCATGAATGGGTAAGTAACTGGTCTAGTCAGACAAGGGAGTATTAGTCATGAAAGGGATTGATTGTTGCTATACAATGTGAGTAAACCTCAGCTAAGCTAAATGAAAGAGGCCAGACACAAAAGGTCACATATAGTGTGATTGCATTATGTGAAACATTTAGAGGAGGCGGAAGGAGCCTGGCAGTAGCGGGGCCGGGGGGGGGGGGGGGGGGGGAGCTGCGGGTGGGACAGAAGGGTGGAAGTTCCTTTTCAGGGGATCAGAAACGCAGAGCTAGAGGTACTGATGGCCACACCATCCAGTAAGCGTGCTGAAGGTCATTGAATGATGTACATTATAGCAGGAAATAATTTTACATTGCATGAGTTCTACTTCAATGAAGGTATAAACTGTCCATCAAAAATGATAAAATTATTAAGTGGGACTTAGTTATAATAATAAAAAAAACTTTTGCTTCACAAAAGGCATGGATAAGGAAACTAGAAGTGAAGCTATCCAGTGAGCGAATGTGCAGTGCTAGGATCTATGGAGGGTTGTGCACAGAGGCTCAAGAGTTCCCTGCCATACAAAAAGAAAAAACTCCACAATGTAAAACCAGGGTGAATGGTAGAGACATGTCTCAAAAGGTTTCCAATGAGCACGTGCCAATATGCCCAGCATAGCTCATCATCAGGGAAATGCAAGTTAAACCCCCCAGAATTGCTAGCATTGGAAAAGACTCGCAAGACAAATACTGGAGAGGATGAGGGGGACGAGACCTTTCCACATTGCCAGGGGATACAAAGTGGCACTGCCGTTTTGGAAGATTGTGGGATTTTGGTTTGTTTTGTTGTATACCACCAGTGTTGGGATCTAGCAGTTAATACTAATTGATGTTTAGCTAAGAGATGTTATTTCACAGAACATGCTCGTGACAAGACTGGTGTGTGGTCCTGGTGGTGTCCTGGGGGTGGGGCGCCTTTGAGAGTGTGATCAAACTGACACCATCAGCTGATGCCATCCCTTGGCAGAGGGGATTGCAGAAGGAGAGGCCAAAATTGACCAGCCATACTCTCCCTCAGAGGGTGGGATTTTGTTCACAAGACAGTGAAGACATATGTTAATCTTTGTGGAAAAGATGAGTGATGATTTGTGCTTTATTTTAGAGTAGGGGTTAGCAAACTGATGCCCAGGCCAAATCCAGCCTGTAGCAAAGCATGCTTTTTACAGTCTATAAACAAAACCAGACGGCACATGGTCTATGAACCCTTAAATATTTGCAGTCTTCTTTGCAGAAAATATTGGCAAATTGCTATGAAACAAATGTGAGGGTGAAACCAAGATCACATTGTTTTTGCCAGATTGAGTAAAAGGTACTTATTTCCTCTCATGGATCATCGTTGTGTAGAAGGCAGAACCTCTGATACATTCTTGCCCTGGGTTCTCCAGCCGCATAGAGAAGTGGTGTTTGTCTGCCCCAGTGTCCATTGTTGTTTGGAGCTGCATCCTGGTCTGTCTAAGCCCACTTTAGAGGTGAACTCACCACTCCCTGTGTCTCACTGCCCTCACTCACATAGCCACACTAGATACACTTTTCTTGTCTGCACCTCTCAGTAGACCGGGACCCCCTTGGGTACAGGAACTAGTTTCTGCCATAGTAGGTCTGATGCTGTGGTGTGTGTTATATGAGCATTTATTGGCTGTATTGAGCACTGGCATCCTTGACAGGAGCTGGGGTGGGTAGGGTCCAAGGTAGCCATTCAGGAGCAGGCTGGGGTAAGAGACACTCATGCATCTGAACTTCATTTCCAGCGGACTGAACAGAGGGATGTGAGGAAAGCAAAACTGAAAGAAAAGAAGGAGCAGAATCAGAATGAGGCTTTGCTCCAGGCCATCAAGGTGAGTCTTCGGCATCTCTCCCTGTGTGTGAAGTTCACCAGTGTGGGGAGCCTGCTAGAAGCTTCTCTCCGGATGCCCTGGCCACACCATGCTTGGTGAAGCGGAGGGTGCACTCAGGGTTAAGTGTTCTTTCAGTTAATTGTCTTAGAAGGTCTGAGGCAGGTCTTCTTGCTCCTGTTTTACTAGCTGAGTGAACAGTCTCAGAAAGGTGAAGAAACTTCACACTGGATTTCAGAGACAGTTTGGTCCTTACCATGAGTCATACTGCACTCCAAGAAGGCTAACTTTTAAAAAGTGTTTTTATTATTGTAAAGGCAATGTGCAGAGGGGTTATAATAAGAGAAGGATAATTTTTAGAATGTTGCTCTTCTAACTGTAGCAAGCACAAGATCCTTCCTTATGTTCCTTTATTTTCAATCCAGTGCAATGCAAATATCAAACCTTGATACCCAGCAAGTCACCCATTTGAGCTTCCTTTGTTTTCTTAAGGTAGATTTTATACAAGAGCCCTAGGAGATGAGAGGCGAGTCTTCTGTTTTACTCTTTGATCAGTTCATTTATAGTTGCATTATAATATTACTTAGAAGTCACTTGGAAGTTAGGTTACCCTCGTGAGTCACTTGCTGACTTTGAAAACTTAAATGTTGCCAGGTGCTGTTGGCTCTCGTCTGTAATCCTAGCTACTTAGGAGGCTGAGATCCAGCCTGGGAAGGAAAGTCTATGAGACTCTTTTTTTTTTTTTTTTGGCTGGTCATGGGGCCTGAACTCAGGGTCTGGGTGCTGTCCCTCAGCTCTTTAGCTCAAGGCTAACACTCTACCACTTGAGCCATAGCGCCACTTCTGGCCTTTTCTGCTTATGTGGTGCTGAGGAATCGAACCCAGGGCCTCATGCATGCAAGGCAAGCATTCTACCATTGAGTTACCTTCCCAGCCCCTCTATGAGACTCTTATCTCCAATTAACCCCAGAAAACCAGAAGTGGAGCAGTGGCTCAAGTGGTAGAACGCTTGCCTTGAGCAGAAGAACTGAGGGACAGCGCCCAGAGTTCAAGCCCCATGACCCACAAAAAAAGAAAGAAAGAAAGAAAGAAGACTTCAGTGTGGCCCATGTCCTTCCAACAAGCAACCTGATAATGCATATTAGCAAGTTAACTAGAGGGATACATTCTTGATTTTCTTCCTGATGCCCCCTCACAGGGCAAGATTTGGCCATTTTCCAGAATGGGGTGCCCAGATATATGCATAGACCTTTTCTTTTTAAATTTGTTTCTCTAATACAACACTGGCTCTTAGGTCAGTACCTATAAAACATTCTCTATATCACACAGTGCTGCATTTTATTAATGGTTTAAGGCAGGGGTAGCAACCTGCAGCGATTTTTAAACAGCTTTACTTATGTTCGTTATGGCTGTGTCTGTTTTCATATTACAGTTCAGAGTTGATTAAACTCAGTAGGCTCTTTGATCTTCTAAGAAAAAGTTTGCCAACCCCAGTTTAAGGGGCTGTTGTGAAGTCATTTTGACTGAAGGTGATTTCCCCTCTTTATTCTGTTTTTATTTATTTAGCCAGTTCTGGTGCTTGAACTCACAGCCTGGGCACCGTCCTTGAGCTTCTTTTGCTCAAGCCTAGCACTCTACCATTTGAGCCACAGCACCACTTCTAGCCTTTTCTGTTTATGTGGTACTGAGGAATCGAATTCAGGGCTTCATGCATACTAGGCAAGTACTCTACCAGTAAGCCACATTCCCAGCCCTGATTTCCCCTCTTGTACAAATCTTGGGAACCTAACACACATAAGAGGTGTCCCTACACCTTAGACTCTGACTGGTCCTGCACTGCCAAGATGGAGTAGCGTGCATCATTTTTCACATCCACATCCTCAGACAGAAACAAGTATTTTCGCAAGTCTTCTCTGTGCCCTTGCACATATTCTTCCTTAGGACAAAATGTACTTCCTGTCCTCCTTTCTCGGCCTTTCAAAGTCTGGGCCCTAGCATGTCCTAGTCAGTCAACTGGGCTTCCTCTGTCTACAGTTTCACAGCTCCATTTCTCTCTTTTCTTTCTTTTCTTTTCTTTTTTTTTTTTGGTGGTCGTGGGGCTTGAACTCTGGGCCTGGGCGCTGTCCCTCAGCTCTTCAGCTCAAGGCGAGCGCTCTACCACTTGAGCTACAGCGCCACTTCCGGTTTTCTGGTGGTTTATTGGAGATAGGAATCTCACGATCTTTCCTGCCCGGGCTGGCTTTGAACCGCGATCCTCAGATCTCAGCCTCCTGAGTAGCTAGGATTACAGGCATGAGCCACCAGCGCCCGGCTTTCTTTTCTTTCTTTTAAAAAAAAGGTTATTTATTTTACTTACATGGTACCAAGGGCTTAATGTATGCTAGGCAAGCACTCTACCACTAAGCCACAGCTCCTTTCCCCACAGCTACATTTCTTGCCTTCTGTTACAATTCTTTCCATAGTGTCTCCTCTCTAGACCATAAACAGGCTTGCGGGCAGGGAGCCTTGTCGAGCTCTGTCTGTGACACAAGGACCAGCACATGGCAGGTGCCTGCTGGAGGTGAGTGACACAAGTGGTGCCTACTCTGTTTGGCCTCGGGAACAGTGAAGATGAATCCTGTGCAGAGGTGGCACTCAGGGAACACATTGTGAAGTGAGTTTGCACCCACTCCAAATAATGAGGTTTGTGTGTATGTGTGTTCTTTAATCCAGGCTAGGAACATCAAGCTCATCTTTGAAGCTGCAGATGAAGATGAAGATTCAGTCTCAAGTGGTCTGAGTGAGAATCCTTACGGAGCCCGGCTAAGTCTAGATGGCCAGGGCCGGCTGAGTTGGCCCGTGCTCTTCCTATACCCAGAGTATGCCCAGTCTGACTTCATCTCTGCTTTTCACGAGGACTCCAGGTACTTCCTCACCCAAGAGCCCATTGCTTGCTTGCATGCTTTTTCCTGCTGTCTCGACAGGAAGGTCAAGTGGATTTTTGGTTGAGGAGGGAAGAGTATAGTTTAGAGGCTTTTACACAATCTGGTTGATAGGACCCCTCTATCCAATAGCCTTAACTCAGCAGCTTCGCTGTAACACAAGTCTCATCTTCCTATGTCTGGGCTAATAAACATAATACCACAGTACAGTGTTTATTAAATGGTGGAATGTGTCACTGTTGAAGTATGAAATCATTTTAAATAACATATACACATAGTCATTTAAGTGAACAGTTACTAGAAAAAAATAACATACTACTTTAACTTCTGATTTCATAATGTGGTTAACTAAAGAATTTTAACAATTCTGAGTCTGTAAAGAAGGTGTGTTTTTGGACTAGTGATTCACAACCATATTTTGGGTTTAAATATACATGTGCATGGTGTGTTTGGGCAGTCTTCTCTCTGAGTTGGTATCCAGGGACTGCTACGGGAGAATAGATCAGAAGTCATTGATAACAGAAACGGCACGTTATATCCTTAGGTTTATCGATCATTTAATGATGATGTTTGGTGAAATGCCCTCCTGGGACTCAGAGCGAAAATACTGCCCTGATCACTTGGAGGTAAGAGACGTGTTCACTTCTCCATGGACTTTTTAGAGGGAAGAAAATAGGGACAGAGATGAACTGGTTTTTTTTTTCCACTGTGCTAATATAGTAATATATATAATATAGTAATATATATAATATAGTAATATATATAATACAGTAATATATAAAACAGCATTTACCATTTAGCCATTCTTTTTTTTTTTTTCCTAGTTTTGTCTTGAATTTGGGCTTGGGCACTGTCCTTGAGCTCGTTTGTTCAAGGCTAGTGATCTACTACTTTCAGCTACAGCTTACTTTCAGTTTTTGAGTGGTTAATTAGAGATGAGAGTCTCACAGGGACTTTTGTGCCCCAGCTGGCTTTGAACTACAATCCTCAGATCTCGGCCTCCTTCGTAACTAGGCGTACAGGTGTGAACTACCACCGCCAGGCTCATTTAGCCGTTCTTTGGCACATTCACTCTTTGTAAGCATTACCACCTCCCTGAGTCCTCCACCATCCCAACGGAAACCCTGGACTCAAGAAATAGCGGCTCCCTGCTTTCCCCCTCCCAGCCCCAGCCCTGCTTCTTGTGTCTGCATTTTATTATCCCACATGTCAGTGGGATCATATCGTATTTGCCCTTTCATGTTGGGCTTATTTCATGTCGTAGGTATGTTGTACCTTACATATGATAGCATATGTCAGGTTTTTTGGTTTTTTTGTGTATTGGGGATTGAACCCAGAGCCTTGTGTCAAATGCCCTACCACTGATCTATGTCCTCCTCCCCTGTTTGAGACAAAGTCTCGTGTTACCTTTGTCCACATGGATTCATGCTTCTGCTTTTGCCTTGGAAGTAGATGGTATTACAAGTGATTGTCACCATTCCTAGCGCAGCCTTCTTTTTAAGGCTGAATAATATTCCATTAGAGTTTACAGAATAGAGAATTCATCTTTTGCTAGATCTGGTGGTACACATCTATAATTCTAACATGCAGAGGTCTGAGGCAGGGTGATCCAGAGTTTGAGGGAGTCTAAGCTACATGATGAGTTTGAGGCTGGTCTGGACGACAGAGTGAGAGAGACCCTGTTTCAGAAAACAGAGAAAGAATAATTTCTGTCTGTGGTGTATGTAATCCCAGTATTGTAGGAGGCTGAGGCAAGAGTTCAGGCTTTAATGATAAAGAGTTCAAGGCTTTAATGATAACCTTTTCTCAAAACCAAAAATACTAGTTTCTAGATATTGAGAGTAAGATGCTAGCTGATGCACCAGCAACCCTGAAAACTTTCATGTGCATTTTCCATAAGCAAGAACTTTTCTTCATAATCCCCAAATAGCTGTCAAAGTCAGGAAATTAACATGGATATCTACTCCCATCTTACTAGTGACCTCGGGCTCTTTTCAGGTTTCACAGTTTGTCCCAGAAATGTTCTCCTTAGTCCAAAGTTCCTGTTCAGAAGCAGAGTATATTCAGTGATCATCTCCTGTAGTCTCCTCCCACAAAAAATGAGTTTCTGGGACATCCCTTCGCTTTCCTCATAGACACCGCTGTGCAGATTCTAGATCATGTATTTTGTGGAGTGCTGTGTGGTTTGTCTTAGGCCTTCTGTGACGAGGCTGGAGTTCTGCATATGTGGCTGGAGTATCACGGAAGTAATGCTGTGTTCTCATTACATCCATCTGTCCATCTGTCCTGTTCTGATGTTGGTCACACCTGATTGAGGACATGTCTGCCAGGATTCTCTACCATTACTATTTTTGCTTTGTTTGTTAGTTTGTTTGTGCAGAACTCGGGATTGAACTCAGGGCTTTGCACTTGCTAGGCACGTGAACTATTCCCCAACCCTTTTTGTTTTTGAGATGGGATCTTGCCAGCTTTGTCTGGATTGGCCTGGAACTTAGTCCTGTCTCCACTTGCCAAGTAGTTGGGATTGTAGGCATGTGCCATCATGCCCAGATATATTTCTTCTTTGAAATTATGTAAATGTATCCCATTGCACTTCAACCTCTCAACATTTGTTTACTTACATCAGTGGTTTTTTTTTTTTTTATCATTTCTTCTTTATTCAGAGTTAAAATATGTTACCATGGTAATTTTTTAATGTTTATTTTATCCTGGATTTGGCTGGTAGAAATCCCTTCACAGTTGTTTCTGTGTCCTTTTGACTTATTCCCAATTTAAGCTCTTGCTCTCTGAAACAAATGCATCAGGATTAAATAGAGCTTTCCTAACCCAGCTCTGAAATCAGCCATAGTTTCCTACAGAGGCTTGGTTCTTTCAGGGCAAGGGGACTCATTGCTCCTGTGCCTCACGGCGAGGGTGTCTTGCACGCGCGCATGTGTGTGTGTGTGTGTGTGTGTGTGTATAAAAATAAGATGTACTTCTGCTCTGAGTCTAGTGCCATAGGATTTTTCTCCTTTTCTGTTTGTACTGATGAGTTATTTTGTTATTATCCCCATACTGGGGCTTGACTCAGGGCCTCACACTCCTGCTTAGCCTTTTCTCTCAGAGTGTATGCTCTACCACTTGAACCACACATCATTTCCATCTTTTTTAATTGGAGATCTGTTTCCTAGATTTGTCTGTCCAGGTTGGCTCTGAACTACATTCCTCAGATCTTAGCCTCATGAATAGCTAGGATTACAAGTGTGAGCCACTGGTGCCTAGCCTTTCACCCTCGTTGGTCCCTCTCCTTCCAGAGCCTTCTGGGACTTAGAGCCACCAGTATGGGTGCTGTATTCATGTTTTACTAACTCTGACGTCCTATATTGCTCAGCCACCCTGAGTGAATGTCCTCTTTGAGCTCTGACCTGCACACAGCCTTCCCCCCCTGCTCAGGTTCTTTGAACCCCATGGCCTTCTGCCTCCAATACCTAACGGCTCTAGGACTAAATTTCAGGGAAGGGAAAGCTACACAGGCTGAGCTTGAGCACTGGCTTGCTTTCTTCCCATGGACCATGTTCTGTTTGGAGAGTAGACCTGAGTACAACCTTTTGTGCAGGGTCAAAGCACTCAGCCCATAGGGTGTGGGCAAGGAGGCTCCCCCCACCTCCCCAGGAGCCTCTGCAAGCCTCGAGATGTGCAAGCTTTTTTTGTCCCTGACTCCCGCTCCTGGTTAATCTTGCAGGTATACTTTGAGGATGAGGACCGGGCAGAGCTGTACCAGGTGCCCCCCACGAGCACGCTGCTGCAGGTCTTGCAGCACCCCAGGTAAGTATCGCTGAGGGCGATGTTCCAGCTCCTTCCAGGGTAGGTGGCTTCTCAGTGGTTGCCTCAGATCCCCTTCTTTGCTCGGACACTGAGCTGTGTGACAGGACAGCCACAGGGCAGGTTGCAGTGTGACAAGACCCATCATCACACCACAGGCAGATACCTCCAGACCAGGGGGAGTGAGAGGGCAGGGAAGGGAAAGCCTGCCTCTCTACCTGAAGGCAGCTGAGTTTGTGTCCATTTCCTGAGTGTGCCTGTGTCTCTTGCTTCTGTTAGTGGGAAAGAGCAGTGGCTCTTAAAAACACATATACCTCCTCTCCTCACATGTGACCCCAAGCACACACTGCCTCTGGGGCTCTCGATGAGAATGCTGTTGCCTACATATTTCTCAGCAGATGTCAGTGACCTTGTAAATTGTGGGCCAGCGCCTTGGCAGGAGGGCGTCTTTGTGGTCAGAAGTGGCAGCAAGCGCAATTTGGCTGTCTCAGCTCTCTGAATCAACAAGCTGACTCTTTTTTTTTTTGGTCATGGGGCCTGAACTCTGGGCCTGGGCACTGTCCCTCAGCTCTTCAGCTTAAAGCTTACGCTCTACCACTTGAGCTACAGTGCCACTTCTGGTTTTCTGGTGGTTTATTGGAGATAAGAGTTTCACCGACTTTCCTGCCCGGGCTGGCTTTGAACCGCAATCCTCAGATCTCAGCCTTCTGAGTAGCTAGGATTACAGGTGTGAGCTACCAGCACCTGGCTAACAAGCTGACTCTTAGACTGCTTTTCTCCAGCCTTGAGCCTGGGGATAAGAAAGGCAGATACTTCTGTACTTAGGCTGAGGAAAGAGGAAATTGAGGTGACAGAGAGCTGAGTTAGGACCACACGTGAAGCATAACATGGATGGACCTGCTCAGGAGTATAAGCTCTGTCCTGAGTGTGGCCACTTTTCTCTCTGGTCTCAGAGGGTGTTTTGTTTCTACAGATTTTCTATAGATTGTTTTTTGTTTCTACAGATTTGAAGTGTTCTGTTTGCTGGCGAGGTCTGTAATAGGAGGGGATGGATTGGAGAGCTTAGGGCAGACTGGATGGGATTGATGGAAAAGCAGACTGTATCTGCTTTGGCTTAGGAAGCAACTGAGGAAAAGTTCTCCAGACCCAATCAATACTTCTCTTAATTGTGTTTTTCTCTGAGCTGAAATTGTCCTTCTCAAAGTTCATGGACAAAATTTTAGCTGTTTATTTTTTTATTGTAGTGCCATCCTGGGGCTTGAACTCAGCCCGGGTGCTGTGCCTGAGCTTTTGTGCACAAGGCTAGCATTTTATCACTTAAGCCACAGCCTCACTTCTGGCTTTTTTGGTGGTTAATTGGAGATATAGAGTCTCATGGAATTTTCTGCCTGCCTGGCTTTGAACCCCGATCTTAAGATCTCAGCCTCTGAAGTAGCTAGGATTATTTATTGTTAACAAATTACCCAGAATTCTTCAAAGGTCTGAGATCCTCCCGACACAGTATGTCTAAAAAATAAGGGAGAGATCTTGGTAAAATAGAGATGGAGCCCGACAAGAAATGTACTCATTACCTTACTGATGTATCTGTAACCTCTCTGTACAGCATCTTTACAAGAAAGTAAAGTAAAAAATTGTAGATGAATTCATTGAGGAAAATCAACTTCATACTTTCAGAAAATGAAAGTGTTGGGGCTGGGAAGGTAGCTTAGTGGTAGAGTGCTTGCCTATTGCACGCATGAGGCCCTGGGGTTCGATTCCTGAGTACCATATAAGCAGAAAAGGCCGGAAGTGGTGCTGTGGCTCAAGTGCTAGCCTTGAGCTGAAGAGCTGAGGGACAGCGCCCAGGCCCAGAGTTTAGGCCCTAAGACTGACCAAAAAAAAAAAAAATGAAATGAAAGTTGCTACTTTTTAAATTACTAACATAGCTAGGGGACCATTCAGGACTGGTTTCTGGCAACTCCGTACCCTGAACTGGGTGGATCCAAGAAACAGGACCCTCTAGAGGTTGGCCCCTTCATATTGCCATTACCTTGGCCTGGCAGGCCAATGCTTGTCCACCCCTCCAGCCCTGTCTCACATGCTTGCCTTATGCCCTCAGCAAATGCTTGGGTTACCTAAATCTCCTAGGCCTCTCCTCCCCTCCAGCCCTTCCCCAAATGAAAGCCAGCTTCAGACTTGGCATCTTCTAGGAAGCCTTTCCTGTTCCCCTGCCTGTGGAGGGAATCAGGTCTCTGTGGGTTAATGCTGTGCTTCACAAACCTTCCTCTGTTGTACTGGTTATCCTTGATGGGTTCTTTATCTTCCTTTACCAGGGCTGAGCTTGAGAGCGAAGACAGTGGTTTTTAATCTCTTGTATTTTCAGCATGGGACCTGTCTTACCCAAGTTACTCAAGGAATGAAATGAATGAAAAGCAAATTTTATACTTACATTTCGTGTTTAGACATAGGTGAGCCTGTGCTAGAGTGCTGCCTTACAAGTTCTTCAAGGCTATAAGGGGGAATGTCAGGCTGATTTCAATAGACCTAGGAACAACCAAACACACAAATGTTTACCAACACCCAAAGGTTCACCTTGAGTATGTTCGGGAAGGTCCACGGATGATTAACCCAGTCTTTGCTCTGTTCCTTGCAGGTACTTTGTAAAAGCTCTGACACCAGCATTTCTAGTCTGTGTAGGAGGCTCTAGTTTTTGTAAGAATTACCTCCGGGGAAGAAAGGTGTGCAGGGTAAAGTGATGGAGCCAGACCTCCTGGATCTCCTTCCTCACCTTCCTCTGCGGAAATCTAGCACACTTGAAGCTGCTGGACATGCCACAAGCCCAGCCCTTTCTTTCTGTCATCTTGAGGACACTCTCCTTTCTAGCCTTGTGCTGAAGGAGCTGTGACTTCCCTGAACTGTGTCCCCCTGGCCAAGTTAGTGACTCCAGCTGGTCATTATTCTCCTCTGTGGATCCAGAGCCCTGGATGGTGGTCAGGGCATCCTTGAAGTCCATTTCTGAAGGGGACCATGTGCTGCAGTTCCCACAGCAGTTGGCTTTGGTACCACACTGGCCTGAAGAAACTGACTTGGATCCAGTAACATGGCTGTGCAAGAAGACACCCTCCAAGGCAGTAAACCCACTCTGCCTGGACTAAGACTGAGACACTATGGCCAACGGTTGTTTGAGCAGCATGGAGAGAGCTGCATAGGGTGTTGTAGATTCTGTGAATAAATGGGGTCAGAAAAGCCACTAGATACCCCTCAAAATTTTGCGGTTTCTCTCATCTTTGTAGTATGAGAACTATGGCAGATTTGGACATTTCTACCTAACTTCTGGGCTCAAGTTATCCTCCTGTCTTAGCCTCCTTAGGCTTAGGTTACAGGCATGCCTCTCTTTGCCTGGCCAGGATTTATGCCCCCCCCCCCTTTTTTTTTAAATGTGTTTGTCTTTGGTCTTGAACTCAGGGCCTTGGTGCTTGTCCCTGATCTTTTGTTCTCAAGGTTAGCATTCTACCCTTTGAGTCACAGTTCCACTTTGAGTTTTTTTGATGGATGGTTGGATATTAGTCTCAAAGACTTTCCTGCCTAGGCTGGCTTTGAACTGCAATCCTCAGATTTCAGCCTCCTTAGTAGCTAGGATCACAGGCATGAGTAACCAGCACCCAGCTCAGTTTTATGCCCATGTGGCATTGTCATTCATAGGATGAATTTTGTTTTCAGTTTTACCATTTCCTAGGATTTTGACTGTCCTTAACTATAGCTGTGTGACTTCCTGCAGTGCTCACCCTTGCCCCCAGGGGGCGCATACTTTCTGCTTCTATGCACAGGGTACAGATGTGACTGTGCCCATGTGGACAGAAGTTTGAGGAGCTGGGCACGGTAGCTTGTGTTTACCCTTTACCATCAGAACCCCTTTCCCAAATAGATGCAGCCTTTTCAGCCTGGTGCCAGGATAGGAAGATGTGCAACAGCCAAAGCTGCTGACCTGCAACCGTTGATTGTAACAGGAATGACTGTGTGTTGAAGTAAGCTCCCAGCTGACTAATACAACATTAAACTGAACCAGCTGCTGTCTTTTGGATGGAGTACTGTGGGTTTTGTGTTGTGGGCCCCATTGCTTCTGGAAGAGAAATTAGCTCTGGGGTATTTACAGAGCATCATTAGCTTTCCTCCCAAGAACGGGTCTCTACAAGTCCAGGTCAGCCATGTCTATCATTTTCTCCCCAGCTTCTGTCTCCCTTGCTTCTCTCCCTTGCCCCTCCAGTGGATGTCACAGCCATGTAGGTGCTTTTGGCATCAGGTGAGTCAGACTAGGGATGCAAGAAGTTACCTAGTCCCAGTGGTCAGTCATTCTGAGCTGGAGAAATGTGACATTAAACTAAAAATCTAAAATAAGAATTTCTTTTAATGATAATGGGATTTAAACTCAGGGCCTGGCACTTGCTAATAAGCAGGAACGGTATTACATTAGCCACGTTCCCAGTCCTTTTTTGCTTGGGTTATTTTTCAGGTAAGATCTTTAGATTTTTTTGTTTTTTGTTTTTGCCTTGGACTAGCTTCAGATTTTAATACTCCTACCCAAAGCTGGGATGTGGCTCAGTGGCAAAGTGCTTGCAACATCCTGGGTTTGATTCCCAGGACCAAAAAAAGAGACAATAATAATAATACTCTTACCCATTGCTTCCTATGTAGCTGGGATCACGGATATGTACCGTCACACCTGGCTCAGTGATTGTGATGGGGTTTGTTAAATCCCAGCTCATATAACTTGAAGTTTTGGGGAGAGAAGGGCAGTCTGGGGGTTTGAAATGTGTTTGCTAGCAGGCATGCCATTGCTTGAACCATGTCCACCAGCCCTTTTCCTTCTGATTATTTTTGGCAAGTCTTGCTTTTTGCCCAGGATAAATATCATGCACGTTACATGACATTGTTTCTGAACTGTCAAGTGGAGCAGAGTGGCAGAGAAGTGGATGTTCTCTGACTCTGCAGCATGTTCATGCTCATGCCTGGTGTGGAAAATAGATCTTGGCCCTTCTGGTCAAGGTTGAGTGGACAGCCCTTGCAGAAGAGGCCAGAGGGAGCCTGTAACTAGTGGTGGACACACAGGTCCCATGGTATGTCTGTAGCTGGAGAGAAGCCTTTGTGCCTAGAAAGGGGCCTGCTTGAAACCTGGGTCGGTGGACAATATACTGTCCTTAAATAGTCTGGTGGCCTAGCTTTGTGGCCCTCCACCCTAGTTAAGTGAGAGCGTTGAGAGAGGAGATTCCTAAGGGCCTCAACAGTTGTGCATTTTGAGTTTAGGAACATTATGAACTTGGGTCAGAAGTAAACATCAGGGGTTGAGAAGATGGCTCAGTGGTATGAATGAGGCCTTTGGTTCGATTCCTTAGCACCACATAAGCAGAAAAAGCTGGAAGTGGCGCTGTGGCTCAAATGGTAGAGTGCTAGCTGAAGGACAGTGCCCAGGCCCAGACTTCAGACCTCACTACCGAAAAACAAACAAAAACATTGTAGCTACAACAAAATTACAGGGAACATTCTTTTCAGTATTTACAGTGTTGAAAGTCTCCGCTTTCCAATCAAAGGACATAGAGCAGCAAAGTGGATTTAAAACAAGGCCTATTTGCCTGCCTTAGAGAAGATCCACCTTCAGCCTTGTGAAAGTCTATTCCTTATATACTTATAGACTATTTGCTGACTACAAGAAACACATATCACCAGATACTAGCTACCCAGAAGGCTGCAATCTGAGGATCATGGTTCTAAGCCAGCTCAGGCAGGAAAGTCTGGGAGACTGTCTCTACTAAACTGCAGGGAGGAAAAAAAGCTGGGAGTAGAGCTGTGGCTCAAGTAGTAGAGCACTGGCAGAAGCACAAAAGCTCAAAGCAGCATTCAGGTCCAGAATTCATGCCTCAGGACCAGCAAAATAAGCAACACATATCATTGGGCTGGGCTGGCTTCTCCCTATTGTCCACACAGCCCATTTCAGTTCCTTCCACAAACCTTTGCTCTAGTTCCCTTGACTAGGTATGTGCTTTCTCTGCCTGGTCTACCCACTAAACCCCTGCTTATCTTCCTCCTCCACTGTGTTTCCAGCTGCCAGCAGAGCTGGCCCTTCCCTGATAGGCATGCACCCCATCCTTGCCCTCTGACATCTGCCCCTGCCTCTCAGACACTGCAGTGCACCTGTGTGTCCAGGTGTTCACTGCCACTCCCCGCAGCTGAGCTTCAGCTCTTGGGGCCACGGAGTTTCCTGAGTGCCTATCAGGAAAACAAAGGAAGAACAAAGGAACCAATGCACAAAGGAATACAATAAGCCAGTGTCTGTTCCCAGGTCCCCACTTGTAAACACAAGCCCCAGCAAGGGCAATCCTAGGCTTGAGCCCTATGTGACTGTCTTTTCCTCCCTCAAGAAGGCTCCTGGCTTCTGTTAACCCTCTATGCAGAACAAACTCAAGGTGGGGCAGGCACACTTGGCATTCAATTGCTGGCCTTCTTCAGGAGGCAGGGCAGGGGTGTGTGGAGATGGTGTAGTTACCCTGGGAGGCAGATGCTTCCTGCCAGAGATTGGAGACTGACTTTTATCTTGTGCCTTCCTGGTCACTGTATACGTTCCTGGGACTCCAGATGGTCCCAAGAAGAACTCAAACTTCCCCTTCCCCTACTGAGATGGGGAAATGGAGGTCCATGCAGGTGGAAGGATGAGGACAAGGACAAGTTATGTGCTGCTACATCTGCTTCCCTGACAGGAGGTCAGAACTCCTCCTTCTCCACTTCTGGGCCCTTGACCTGAAAGCACCCAAGCGCAGCCCTTTTTCCTTCCCAGAGCCAGCAGTCAGCCATGGAGGTAGACCGTCCAACTTTTGTCTGTTACCTCTGTGGATGTAGGGTGGCAGCTGGGGATTGAGTTGGGATGAAACACTGCTGACAAGGGCACAAAGTTGGGTGAGGAAGACTGCTGTGAACACTGAGTTCCAGTACTGCTGACCAGCTCCTAACTTCACAGTTGACTCAGCTGCCCTTACTCCAAGCTTGTGGTAAGGCCTTGGCCCTCACTGTCACACAATGTCCCCACCTGGCTGTCTGCCTAGAACCTGTTATGTGCAAAACCTCTGCCACAACCCATTGCCAGATCCCTGCAGCACCTGACACGCCCATCAGTGGGGCTCCCATCACCCCGCAGAATCTGTGCTCTGGGGAAGCAAAAGGGGAGTCCGCCATTAGTTACCCAGTGTGTGCCTCCTCCACTCATTTTCATTAGCTATGGGCAATTGAGTTCAACCATGGGAGCTTGTTAGCCTGCTGCTGGCTTGGCCGCAGTGGACACATTCTTGCACTAGGATGCCACCCACTTCAGCTGGCCCATGGTGTACCTACTGTACAAGAACTGCCCTTAATATAGGGGTAAACTGCCTGTCTACACCTGCGGAGACAGATATTGTCACCAGTGCACAGACAAGGAAAGGGAAGGGAGATGCAGGAACTCTGAGGAAAATCAGGTACATCGCTGTCTTATTCCCATTATGTAAGTTACTGTTTTAAACTAATTGAAGTACCTTGTTTTTTTTTTTAAGTGTTTAAGAGTGTGCTGATATCACAAAATTTTTGCCCCAATAAAAGCAAGCCTTGTATTCTAAGCAATCTGTACCAGAAAGCATCCTGGCATCCTAATGTAGAACTCCGAAGAGGCTTGGTATTCAAGCAGTTAAGGAAGTAGTGATTTCAACAGATTTTTGCTAAATTCCTTTATTGATCACCTAGCCGGTGTTTCTTCCATTAAAACAATATTAATGAAGCCCTTGGTTTACATTCTAAGCTTGACTTACATGATGTGTTTGTTATGCACCAGCCTTTGTCCTTAAGATTTAATTCTGTTATTTCCCAGACAGTTGCCTCTAGATCTCCCCAAGGAATAAGCAATGATAATCCAGCCTGTGCCTGTTAACTTTTGCCAACGTCCCATTTCATCAATTTATGGCAAGAGGTAAACCCAGCAGTTACAGAAATGAGTAAACGACACTGTGTGAATATTTCCAAGGAGATGATCTGCAGGTGGTACCCAGTTCTTACTCCTGACTTTTCCCAGAAAGAAAGGCCATAAAGCATCATGCCAAGAGAACAAGATTCAGGTCTTAAGCTAACAATGTTAGCAGCAGAGCCTGAGCTCCCAGAGGGACTTCCTAAATCACTAGAAATCCTCAGGTGTAAGGGCAGGGTTTTTCAAATATAGACTGAGGGTTAAGCCTTTGA